CCTTGATGTCAAGTGAAAAGTGCATGCTGCACTCTTAGATGACCTGCACTCTGGGTCAAAAAAGGCCAGTTATAGGTCAGCTTGCAGAATGCTCTAACACAGACTCCAGCAAATGCAAAATATGTGGTTTGACTGTAGAGCAGAGGAACTACAGGCCCTTGCTGATAATCATGACTTGAAAGGTTTCTGTGAGGTGGTCAAAGTTGTGTATGGGTCTACTCAATCTGCCTTAGTACCATAACAAATGCTGATGATGAATCTGTCATCACAGATCGTAATGCGATCCACCAATGGTGGTGTGAACATTTTAGCAAACTACTTAATCATTCATCTACTGTTTCTGAGAAGTCGCTGGATAATGTCCATAAACTGCCTACATCTTCTACACTTGCCTATCCACCCACACAAGCTGAGGTGTTGATAGCTGTTCAAGTAATGAAAAATAATAAATCCCCTGGTCCCAATTCCATTCCAGCTGAGGTTTTCAAACATGGAGGAAATTGTCTCAGTTGACAAGCTCTTTGAATTTTTTACATTAAGTTATACTGCCACAACTGAAAGACACCAACATTATCACAATATATAAGTGTAAAGGCTCAAAGAGTGACTATAGTAACTACCATGGTACCTCTTTGCTCTCCGTGGCTGACAAGATTCTTGCACAGATCCTGTTGAACTGACTTGTGACCCAAATAATCCACAACATTCTATCTGAGTCACAGTGTGGCTTTCATGCTCAGCAAGCATGATTTTCATCATTTGACAACTACAGGAAAATTCATAACATGCTTTCCATCATTCGACAATTACAGGAAAAATGTCGTGAATAGCACCAACATCTTGTTTCTCAATCTAACTAAGGCATTTGATAGGGTCAGCTGCACTGCCCTCTGGAAATTGCTGAGTAAATTTGGATGTCCAGACACATTTATTAACATCATTCAGCAATTCCATGAAGGCATTGCTGGAAGACCTAGTGCAAACATATATATTTCCAATCATGAATGGGGTGGCGCAGGGATGTGTCCTCGCTGCTAGCCATTTTGGTCTTTTATTTGCTGCAATGCTAGAGGAAACCCTTTGTGATGCTTCAGATGGTGTCTTTATACACTTCTGCACTGGTAGGCTCTTCAGAATTTCCCATCTACAAGCAAACACCAAGGTGATAGGAACATTGCTCCAGGAACTGCTCTATGCTGATAATTGTGCCTTGATGGCGCACTCTGAAGCAGCACTACAATTTCTTGCAAACTGCTTTGCTGCGGCGCCTCATAACTTTGGCCCCACCATCAGCTGAATGAAAACTGAAAAGGAGTATATATACCAGCTAGCTCCTCAACAACCTTACCAAGACCTGTCAATAAGACTGGAAGGTACCACGCCCTATGCTGTCAGTTTACCTATTTCAACAGCATGTTGAACAATGAAGCAACAGTTGACCATGAATTAAGAAAGCCAGCGCCACGTATGGTCACTTCTATCACTTAATCTGGAAGCAACATGGAATCTGTATACAGACAAAAGTCAAAGTCCATGATGTCCTCATCACATTGCTCTACTGGTGTGAAACATGGACCTGTTTTCAATGACACATTAAAAAGCTTGAGAGGTTCTACTTGCAATACCTACAATGATTGCTGGACATCAAATGGCAGGACCAGGTTTCCAACACTGAAGTCCTGGTGAAAGCTGGTTTGGTCAGCATCAAGGCTCATTTGGTCTGTGCCCAGTTGAGATGGACTAGCTGTGTAATTCGAATGCCTGAGACCCATCTATCAAAATAAGTTTTATATTCTGAATTAAGCTCTGGCCATCGTAAGCGTTGAGGTCAGATTCAATACTTCAAAGACACCCTGAAAGAAAATTTTCTATTCAACCTTTGAGCAACTGTCGATTGATCATATTGCGTAGCACCACACCATAAGGGTGGGTATCCACAACTTTGAGAAAAATCACGTGGAGCAGCAGGACACACAGCTCCAGCCACAGGAACAATGTGCAGGTCAATCAACACAACTAGTCAAATGGCTCCGTGGCCAGTGGGGTAATGTTGTTCTTCCTGAATTGGTCTATGGAGTCATGCAAAGAGCCATTTGTACAAAACTATGATTGTCAACATTGCCCTTGAAATTGAGGTGACCAGCATCATCAGAGATAATATGTTTGTTAATGTCACTGAGGTATTCAAAATCAATGGTACTGGGAGATATATCATTATTTAGGTAGACAGAAGGACTACATAGCACCTTTCATTTGAGATTAATTTTTGGAGAGATTAGATCACAGCAGTAATTTAGTAATCATAATTTTATAGTTGCTATGGCTGCTGACATAGCAACATTGCACTTAAAGTATTAGATTAACACTCTCACCACTCCCCGTTATTTTTCATTATGTCTCTGGAATCACTAGCAGCTAAAGTACAGGCGGATACAAAAATCCAGAGAACAGAAGTCAATGGCCCATCCTTAACATGTTGGCTTCTTGATAGAGCAAGTAATAGCCAAACTTCAGCCAGACTGCTGAAGGAATTGGCGGCTGTGATTGCAGAGCCATTGGCCATTATCTTTGAAAACTCATGGTGAACCGGGGAAGTCCCGGATGACTGGAAAAAGGCTAATGTAGTGCCAATCTTTAAAAAAGGGAAGAAGGAGGATCCTGGGAACTACAGGCCAGTCAGCCTCACTTCAGTCCCTGGAAAAATCATGGAGCAGGTCCTCAAAGAATCAATCCTGAAGCACTTGCATGAGAGGAAAGTGATCAGGAACAGCCAGCATGGATTCACCAAGGGAAGGTCATGCCTGACTAATCTAATCGCCTTCTATGATGAGATTACTGGTTCTGTGGATGAAGGGAAAGCAGTGGATGTATTGTTTCTTGACTTTAGCAAAGCTTTTGACACGGTCTCCCACAGTATTCTTGTCAGCCAGTTAAGGAAGTATGGGCTGGATGAATGCACTATAAGGTGGGTAGAAAGCTGGCTAGATTGTCGGGCTCAACGGGTAGTGATCAATGGCTCCATATCTAGTTGGCAGCTGGTATCAAGTGGAGTACCCCAAGGGTCGGTCCTGGGGCCGGTTTTGTTCAATATCTTCATAAATGATCTGGAGGATGGTGTGGATTGCACTCTCAGCAAATTTGCGGATGATACTAAACTGGGAGGAGTGGTAGATACGCTGGAGGGGAGGGATAGGATACAGAAAGACCTAGACAAATTGGAGGATTGGGCCAAAAGAAATCTGATGAGGTTCAATAAGGATAAGTGCAGGGTCCTGCACTTAGGACGGAAGAACCCAATGCACAGCTACAGACTAGGGACCGAATGGCTAGGCAGCAGTTCTGCAGAAAAGGACCTAGGGGTGACAGTGGACGAGAAGCTGGATATGAGTCAGCAGTGTGCCCTTGTTGCCAAGAAGGCCAATGGCATTTTGGGATGTATAAGTAGGGGCATAGCAAGCAGATCGAGGGACGTGATCGTTCCCCTCTATTCGACATTGGTGAGGCCTCATCTGGAGTACTGTGTCCAGTTTTGGGCCCCACACTTCAAGAAGGATGTGGATAAATTGGAGAGAGTCCAGCGAAGGGCAACAAAAATGATTAGGGGGCTGGAACACATGAGTTATGAGGAGAGGCTGAGGGAGCTGGGATTGTTTAGCCTGCAGAAGAGAAGAATGAGGGGGGATTTGATAGCTGCTTTCAACTACCTGAAAGGGGGTTCCAAAGAGGATGGCTCTAGACTGTTCTCAATGGTAGCAGATGACAGAACTCAAGTTGCAGTGGGGGAGGTTTAGATTGGATATTAGGAAAAACTTTTTCACTAAGAGGGTGGTGAAACACTGGAATGCTTTACCTAGGGAGGTGGTAGAATCTCCTTCCTTAGAGGTTTTTAAGGTCAGGCTTGACAAAGCCCTGGCTGGGATGATTTAACTGGGAATTGGTCCTGCTTTGAGCAGGGGGTTGGACTAGATGACCTTCTGGGGTCCCTTCCAACCCTGATATTCTATGATTCTATGAACTGGCTGCAGCACGTGCATGCACAGTAATAAGCTCTTCATGTACAAGAACAGCAGCCATCTGTAACTATGGATTACAAAAGCAATGGGATATTTTTAGCAGTGGGACTTGTTTGTATTGTGTCCCTGAGCCCTCCCTCCATACAACTCTTAACACACACATGCACTCATTCACTGTCTCCGTTTTGTTAGGTTAAGTTTTTGTGTTTTGTGGGTTTTTTTTTTACTTGTGATACATCAGTTTAATATTGGTATGTAACTTAACGAACTGTTATTTATATATTACTATACATGTCTATAAGTGCCTATCCCCATACTCTGTGGACATTATCCTGAAATCAATTGAGTTTTAGTTGTTTTTTAAAATCTCGATATACATTTAAAAAAATTTAAAAATTAAACACACAACTATACTAGAGAGCATTTTCTGTACAATTTGTGGGTGAAAGTCAAACAACATCAGCTGAGAAAGAGGACTTGGTAAAGGACTGTTCAGAGGCCAGTCCGAGTCACTACAGTACAACACATTCTATGATACCAACGCAGAATAGTACCATACTCCACATGCAGTTTCATTAAAATCAACTCCTCATGGAATGAGGTATTGCTCACCATAAGAGTATCAAAGTTGGGTCCTTTTACTTTTGTAGATAGAGGGCATGAGACATCCAGGAACCGGGAGTAAAAGGAACTTTAGGAGTCAGAAACTAGAAGATTCTGGCCATTAACAAGCTAAGGGGGACTGAGTCCCTAAAGCAATTACCTTTAAAGCTGATACAAAGGGCCCATCCCACTGGTTTTCTTTAAACAAAACTCTTCTCTGGAACATACTGATCTTTTGGCAAGAATTTGTCCAACTGGTAAAATGTACTTTTTATCAATTACTCATCTCTTTCCCTTTTTTTCTTTTTAAGTTTTTTTTTTAAGAAGTTGGTAGGAAAATATCTGGAAATGAGAAACTAAAACTCCTTTGTTTTTACTTTGTAGTGAATTTTGACCACTTCCAGATACTCCGAGCAATCGGGAAGGGAAGCTTTGGCAAGGTAAGTTAGAAGTTGAATTTATTCATGAGCTCAGTAAGGTGCATTGTAATTAAAAACAAATTATGCACAAACTATTTATTGTAGCAAGAATAATAATCCTGAAAGTGAATTTTTCTTGTATGATGGGTGGTAAGTAGAGGTGGGCAAATTTTTAGTCAAGAAAATATTTCATTGACATTGGCACATCTGTAAACTTGCAGCATTTTTGAGATGCTACATTTCAAATTGCACACAATTCATTTTTTAACTACTAGAATAACTGAAAATTCCATGGCAAAACTATGTATTATATATTTTGTTTCCAAGCTGGGTTTGTTGGTTGTGATTGCTCATTATAATCTAGGTATACTTGGTCCTGCCTCAGTGCAGGAGGATGGAGTAGATGACTTCTCAAGGTACCTTCCAGCCCTACATTTCTGTGATAAGTCCCATGGTACTGCATCCGGTTTCTTAATTGGGTGAGCTGACATTATGTGATCAGGAGGGTTCTCAGAAGCCATTTGGTCTCTATTTCTCTGAGCAACTAGTTGTAGTTAAGGGGGCTGTTTGTTTATTGTTTTGAGAAATAATAAATATAGTATGTGTGGGGCATGTTTAAAAATCAGAGCAGCACTAGTATTTGATGCTTGCTTTGTTTCCTAATTTAGATATCTTTGTCATTGAGATAGATAATTGAAAAAGATACATACATTAATTGTAAAATATTATAAATAATATTGCATATGTGTGTGTGTTCATTCTTTCCTGAACAATTATTACATTTCTGGTGTTGCCTGAATTACATTGACGTGAGTTTAGGCCACTGTGCTTCTGTCTTTGATATTTACATTCTGCACAGTTTATTTTTCACCACATGCCATGTGTGTCCTTGCATTGAGGGTATCCACCCTCTAACTCTGAGCTGACAGGAGCTTGTTGCAGTGCCATATTTCTTCTGCTGCCTACATCACATTTAGTTTAGTGTGTCCTAAGGGCAACTTCCCTCTGAAATCTCCTCTGATCAACTGAGGCATCTGCGAACGATTAAGAGCAAAAATAGCAGTGGTTTTAACACATTGGGAAAATTGCCAAATTTGGCTACCACAGCACCACTGCATGACAGTTTGCAAGTGTGAAGCTTTGTGCGAAAGGTGAATTTCACAAGCTGGTGTCTTGCGGGTGAGGGCAGGGAAATGGGTCCTTGAAGTTTTGCAAAATATGAAATGTTGAAGTTTTTGCAAAGTACATAACAGATGAGCAAAGAATGCTGCAACACTGTTTTCACCAGCTTCACCTTCCCCTAGTAATAACCTAGGAAATAATCAGAGTACTGTCAAGGAAGCTGTTATTCTTTTCTTTTTGTTTTTAATCATCAAATACTGAGGGCCAGAGTCTGACTGTCTTATTTTGGTTAGCACTTTACTCCATGAATATCTCCATTGAACTCACTGGGACTATTTGGAATAGAATTAAGTTCTATTTAGTGTGAATAAAGGGATCAGAATACGGCCCTTAAGATGAAACCTGCTGGGCAATCAGTTTTGTTCTCCCTTTATTTGTACCCACCTATTACAATGGTATCTGAGCTCTGTAATATAGGGGAAGTACTATATATATGGATAACCAGAGCTATAATGCTCAATGTGTACCAAGCTCTACCCTCCTTGCTAAGCTTCAGTAATGTGGTTGGGTGTTAGGGAACTCTACAGAAGCAAAGATGGGAGGATTTCTCTCCCCGAAGCACCGTGGGCCTCATTTTGCCAATATGGCCATGTTTTCATACAGTTTTTTAAAACTGTATGCTAAAATATTAAAATCTACAGAGTGACAAGTCAGAAGAAGCAATTGGGAATGAAAAAAACCAACCTTTGCCTTGATGAGACATGACATAACTTGCATAAAATTACAGAAGTTATATCAACCCAACAAAACAAAACAGCCACTATTTTAATGTTTCCCAACAAAAATATTATCTTGTGTTTCCCCTGTGGATACACAGCAACAGGTCATTGACCAACACTGAGAGCTATCATATTCGTCATTCTGACACACTAAGGACCGGATCCACTCACATGGACTCCTGCTGGATTCATTGTGAGTCCACATGGGATGCGGGCTAGTAATGATGTATCATCATAGTGAACTACTATGTAAATCAGAGAGGAGGTTGTTCTGAAATGAAAACAGACATATTTTCAGTCATAGGTTATAAAATAATTAATGTCTCAAGCAGAAAAGAATAAACATGAAGAGGTAAAATGTCACATTTCTAAGATGGTGTTACAAACTGTCAAGGTTCCTTCCCCACTCTGAATGCTAGGGTACAGATGTGGGGACCTGCATGAAAAACCTCCTAAGCTTATCTTTACCAGCTTAGGTCAAAACTTCCCCAAGGTATAAAATATTCCACCCTTTGTCCTTGGATTGTCCGCTACCACCACCAAACAAATACTGGTTACTGGGGAAGAGCTGTTTGGACACGTCTTTCCCCCCAAAATACTTCCCAAAACCTTGCACCCCACTTTCTGGACAAGGTTTGGTAAAAAGCCTCACCAATTTGCCTAGGTGACTACAGACCCAGACCCTTGGATCTTAAAAACAATGAACAATCCTCCCAACACTTGCACCCCCCCTTTCCAGGGAAATGTTGGATAAAAAGCCTCACCAATTTGCATAGGTGACCACAGACCCAAACCCTTGGATCTGAGAACAATGAAAAAGCATTCAGTTTTCTTACAAGAAGACTTTTAATAAAAATTGAAGTAAATAGAAATAAAGAAATCCCCCCTGTAAAATCAGGATGGTAGATACCTTACAGGGTAATTAGATTCAAAACATAGAGAACCCCTCTAGGCAAAACCTTAAGTTACAAAAAAGATACACAGACAGAAATAGTTATTCTATTCAGCACAGTTCTTTTCTCAGCCATTTAAAGAAATCATAATCTAACACGTACCTAACTAGATTACTTACTAAAAGTTCTAAGACTCCATTCCTGGTCTATCCCCGGCAGAAACAGCATATAGACAGACTGAGACCCTTTGTTTCTCTCCCTCCTCCCAGCTTTTGAAAGTATCTTGTCTCCTCATTGCTCATTTTGGTCAGGTGCCAGCGAGGTTACCTTTAGCTTCTTAACCCTTTACAGGTGAGAGGAGCTTTCCCCTGGCCAGGAGGGATTTCAAAGGGGTTTACCCTTCCCTTTATATTTATGACACAAACACTGGAGAATGAATAAAAAACTGTAGAGGGAAGAACCTCTGGTGGTGTAAATTGTCATAACTCCTTTGAAATCAATGGACCTATGTCAATTTATACCAGTTGAGGATCTGTCCCTAGATTTGTACAAACATTAAGGGAAAGTCCTCTGAAATTTTCAGTGGTTAGGCAGTGAAGTGCTGTGACTGCTACCAGATCATACCAGAACTTACTGTTACTTTGTGTTTCCTGCAGTCTGCCTGTTGTATCCTCCTGTTGTCTCTTGTCTTATTTTATAAAGTCTTCACGGAAGGGACCATCTTTTTGTTACACAGTGCTCAGCACAACAGGACTGGGCCCTTTAGGTGATTCTTCAACACAAATAAAAAAAAAAATAAATTAACCAGGGTTTTATGCAAAGTATGTCTTGCTCTCACATACAGTGGGAAAATTAGTGTCCAGAAGGTTAAGAGTGCTTATTAATGTTACAACCAAGGCATTTTAATCCTGTTAATTAGGTTCCATTTCTCAATCTTGAAAAAATATTACTTTATTATGGTTGTTTAAACTTTTGGGTGGTTATAGCTGATATTTAATTATGGTCTTTGAGAATATATGAAGTTACTTTGTGTTAAGTAAAATAGATCTAATATTTTAAAAATCTCCCCTGCTGTCAGATTTAACCTGCTACACTTAATGTAATTTTCTTAATTATTTAAGGATATATAAAGTGAAAAAGCCTGTTATTAGCTATATAAAACTGTGCCAGAGAAGTTGAAGCATGAATGTTTTATTGTTGTGTCTATAACCCTCCTTCACTATTTAGTTACTATAGACATAGAGAATAGAATTTCCATCAAGGCAAAATGACTGAGATAAAGAGATTTATTTTTTTAGTGTGACAGGAGAGGCCTACAATTTACTTTCACCATAAAGTTTTGAATTCCTTGAACAATATCCTGTAATTCTAAGATGTATTTGGGGTGCTTTGCTAAATAGATAGATTTAATATTTAGATTTCACTTAGTATGTGAATTAGTAACAAGTGCAAAATTTAGCAATGTAGCCCCTCAATTTGTTACCAAAGATCAGAGATATGAAGGTGCTGAAATACTTGTACATGTTTGACGATAAAAGGTATTATAAATGTCCTCTGATGACTCTGTCATATTATCTTGCATAGAGAACTAGGCAGAACAAAATGTCTGCCTTGCAGCCTATAACATGCACAGTGATTTAGATTCATAGGCTCTGGCAGTGTCTTCAGTTCTGCCCCTAAAGAGCACATCAGGTAATGTTGCTAACAGATATTTTTCCTTATAGAGCAATTTACTGATTCTGGAGGCTGTGAACAGCTTAACATCAGTGCCTGCTGCCGTGGTAAATGATGCATTGTGTCCTTAGCTTTCAAATTTAGTTTGCTTTTGTGAAAGCAGTATATGTAGCCCACAATGGGCAATGGAAGTATTCCCCTGATGGAAAAGCACCAAAGAGCTGATGTAATTGGCCCTACTCTGCCCCCTCCAGTAGGCCCCAGCATAGCCATCTTGCCAGGGCAGGTACTGTAAGACTGCAATTCATGCTGGCCTTAATGTGCACAGAATGTGACATAGAAACATCCTGATAACATACACCCCTTTTCTGTAGCCACCCTCTGCTTTACTTAGATTGTAAGCTCTTGGGGGCAGAGACTGTCTTTTTTTGTTCTGTGTTTGTTCAGTGCTTAGCACAGTGAGGTCCTGGTCCATGGCTTGCACTCCTAGCTGCTACGGTAATACAATATAATAATAATTATAATTATAACAACAACAAGCTGGTAACAGGGA